GTTGACATGTTGTGGGGTTGTTAACCAATGTCATAAAACAATATGTGTACTACTGTTTCATGAGAAACTATTTGTTCTGTAAGCCTTCACCAGAACTACAATAAAAAAAAAAACTAACCTAAGTGATATGGCCATGTAACCATGTATTTACTATGAAGTTGTTTTATTCCTCAAATATTATATATAGTAATTACAAAGAATTAATATTTTTTTTAAAACACCATTCATTGACACACACATGCACACACACATATTTCATATTTCTGTGTGTGGGAGTATATATACAAATATATATAAATGTGTGTATGTATATATATATATATCAGTTTATGTGTTTATCAGTAAAAGCATTTGTGATTGTCATGTGCCCAAGTCAAATAATTAAGAATAAAAGCTTCTTTAAAGTGGGAAAAAAAAAAAAAAAAAACTGTTTTGTCCTAATCTGACATCTGATAGGAGTGAATTAATTTGTGATTCTCTACCCTGGTCTCTCCATGTGGTCTTTCTTTTTGAGAATATGAGAAGGAAGTTTTTGAAGTATAGCTAAGCCTCCATTTTCTCTTTTGAACAGTCCCCTCACCGATGATACCTACCCCATAGAGTTGTTGTGGGGATTAAATGAGCTAATGCATTAGAGCACCTAGCAGAGCTCCTAGACATAGTAAGTGTGAAAACAGCATGGAGGCGGTGTCTGACCTCCTCCAACCCCACAAGGGGGAAGGAGAACCAAGGTCAACAGCCCAAGGCTGATTCCTATGAGGTGGGAGTCAGACATGCCTCCTCTCTCCCTGTCTCTACCAGTTCTGACACAGCATCCCTCCCACAGCACTCTACTGGGTTCAGTAATTCATTGCAATGGCCACACAGAACTCACAGACCATGCTCACAATTATGGCATTTATTAGCAAAGTAACAGTTACAATTCAGGCTCAGGAACACTCAAGATACAGTTTTTCCAACAAGACAGCAGACAGCCTCTCGCAGACACCCCTCTCCTCTCCTGGCCCTAGTCCTCTGCACTTAGCTTTCTCACTCTGGGCCGGGAGGCCCACCTCACTGTCCCCTGCTGCTGGGTCTCTCCTGGTGTTCTCTCCTTCCTTGGTGGTGGTGGGCTCTTCCTCTCTGCTCTGGAATTGACTCTCTTTTAAGGCAAAACTAACCAATCCCCTTGGAAGGCCACAATTACCCTACCATACAGTCACCTGGGTGGGAGTTAAAAAACCATGGCTAGAAAGGCCACACACAAAAGTACTTGATCGCACCACAGTAAATGCCAGTAAAATGTGAGGTGTTATTTTGGAGTTATACAATTTGTGTCTCTTTTTACTTACTGACTTCTTAAGGATCTCAAAGACTTTGACCTCATCTCCTGCTTCATCAAGAGAATAGTAAACGTAGGTAAATACTGAACTTCCTGTGTTGCCCCTACTTAGAAACTGTACTGTATTTCCTTCCCTTGTGTCTTTTGCTGCCATTGTGGATGAGGCGTCTTTGCTTTTGTCTAAAGGCAACACTTTAAATGGAAGGATTTCAGCCCATCTTCCCTTCTCAGGGACCTCACGCCATCAATTTTTCCAACTCCTGTTTTCAACCTCTTCCTCTCTTCTGGTTGGCAGTTCAAACTGATCAGCGGCTCCGCAGGAGAAAAAACCTGGCAATCTGCCCCTGTAAAGAGTACAGCCTAGGAAACCCTATGGGGTGGTTCTGTGCTGTCAGGTAGGATAGCTATGAGTTGGAATAGACTCAACGGCATACAACAACAGCAGAAACTGAGCTATAGAGAAATACAACAACTTACCAAGATTATACAGCTAATCAGTGATAGAATCTCACTTCAAAACCCAAAACAGTTTGGTTCCATAGTCATGCTCTTAACCTCTATGATAAATCCCCTGAATGTTTTTCTACAGTCACTCTCTTCCGTACCTCCCATTCATTCCTCAATTTCTTATCTCCTGATCACTCCTCAGCATTCTGGCTCTACCTCCATTGTTCCCAATGAAACTGTTCTCTTCCAAGTCACCAGTAATCTCTATTACTAAATCCAGTAAATCCTTAGTCCTTTTTTTTTGTTTTGTTTTATTTTTAACGTGACCAGCATTTGACCTGCACTGTCTTTCCTGAGTTCTTTGACAATATAACATTTTACCTCTGGCATCTTCTCAAATGCTTCTACAAGCTACTCTCTCTGTGTGTTCTTTAAATGTCATTATTCCCCAACGTTCTTTCCTAACCACTCTTCTCACTATGTATATTTTTCCTGGATAACCTCATGTATTTCCATGGCTTTAATTGCCAGCTCTGTGCTGATGACCGTCAAATCCATATTCCCAGCCCAAATCTTGAGCCCCTGTATATAACCAGTTACTCAGCATCCCCCACTTGGATATCACGTAAGTACCTCAGAATTCACCATTTCCAAAATTGAACTTAATCTTCCCATCCCTTTTCCCCCATATAACTGAGAATGTGGATTCAGAACATAGAGACTTAATTAGATCACCTTAATAGCTAGTGTAGTATTTCCCAGAGTGAAGTTTGGGGACGCACTGGCATCAGAATCACTAGAGGGCTTCTTCTGCACATGGAAGTGAGTTAGTGTCATCAAACTGTGATAATTTTTATACTTTTTAAGCTATATTTAAATGTACACAGTGAAATAACTTTCTTTGGTGTATAGTTTCGTGAATTTTAACATTTTCATGGCAACGTAGAACTACCACAAACAAGGTAACAATTTCCATTACTCCCAAAATTCCATAGTACTCCCTTTTGTAGTCAGACCTTGTCTACATGCCTAACTCCTAACAACCACTGATTTGTTCTTTGTCCTCATAGTTTTTTTCTTTTCCAGAATGTCGTGTAAATGGAATCGTATAGTACTAACCTTTTGAGACTGAGTTTTGTTGTTGTTGTTGTTTGTATTTTTATTTTAAGAATTCTGTGCCCTCATCTCCACTATGTTTAGAGACTTGCCTAGAAATGGTACTCTTGTGCTAGTAAAGTCTTTTTACCACAAATAATGTGACTTATTCCTGGGTTCTTTATCTTGACTGTTCCTGGGCCTTGTGTAGACAGATATACTCAATTGGTCTCTAGTCCTGAAGGTATACCCAGCCCCCTTTTAGGATTTGAAGATTTTCCATATCTTCTCAGATACACACTGTATGTTATACCTACTTAGGGTAAGTGATTTCTGTGGATTTGTTGGTATATACCAATTTTACTCTCAATCAGAACTCACCTCACAGGCGTATAAACTCATGGAGAGGTATAAATACAGTCCCATGATTACAGCAGTTATGTACAGCACTATCTTTTTCTAAAACATTGTCCTTCATATTTGTTTGGGATGTCCCCTGACTCTAGTTTTATAGAATTTGGTGAACTAACTCATGGTTACCCTGTATATTTTATAACTTTATATCATAACCTCATAGTCTTTATCTTTCTAAATTAAAAAGTGTTTAATTCTCAAACATTCAGACTTTTCTGCCAGTGCTTCATTTTCAGAAATTTTTTTTATAGAACTACACATGGTGCTCCAAAGATTGGGACAGCCTTATTGTGCACCTGATCAGGATCATTGCCTTCTCTTGTCAGCACTGGGAGCTCCCTGTTTGTGTGCTGTACAGTGTATCCTATTGTCCAAACTAAAAATCAATATAGACTTTTCTAATTTGCTTATTTATTTACCCTGAAAGTTTTGCAGAGATGTAAAAATTGCATTCAAATGTATATTTAACAAATGAACTTTATTAAGACTAAAATTATATAAAATTAAGATAATTGCTTATTATAATTAAAGTGTTTTCCATAATAAAAGTAATAATTTATTGAAGAAATTTTGGAAAATGTAAAAAGTAAGAAAAATAAATTACCTGTAATCTCATCAGCCAAATTCAGTACCTATTGAAATTTCAGTGTATTTCCTTCCACCTTTTTCTGAAGATAGTATTTTGTATATAAACCTATTAATATTCACATTTTAGATAAAACCTTATATGATGCTTTTTTTTTTTTTTTTTTTAAATATCATGTAGCTAGTTCCTTTGTCTGGAAACCCCCTACCCCAGATATCCCCATGGGTGCCTCACTCCTGTCTTCTGATTTCAGCTCATGTCTGCTCTTCCGAGAGGATTTCCTAGGCCCTTCTTCTAGTTGCTCTCTGGTACCTCACTCTTATTCTTAGCGCTATAGTTAGGATCATTTTTCTGATTCTGCCACTTAATTGCTAGCTATGTGACCTCATATGCCTACTGTATAATCTAATGTTAGGAACATGTGAGATCATGTTAGAATTTCCGTCTTCTCCCTATCTAACACTCTGTTCTTACATGCTTAGTGTCTGGAAAATAACAGCAGCTGAACCCAAAAGAAGTGTTAAGTGTCTCAGGCCCTCATAAATTTCTTTTAAAATGCAAAGGAGAGGCTCCTTTTCAATCAGAAATAGATTCAGGGAATGTCAAACCTGAAAGAGACCTTAGACATTTTCTAGTCCATCCCTTATTTTATAGATGATCAAAGTGAGGCCCTAAGAGGATTTGGCCAAGGTCACATAGTCAATCACTTGGTCAGTGGTGCAGCCCAGATCAGAAGTCTATCTCAAGAGGGGCCAAAATTCTTCCCACGCTGTCATGTTGCCTCTAGTCAATTAGCAAGCACCTTTTAAGTACTTACAGGCTTACCAATCTTGAGCACTTGGTTGACAAACCACTACATTTCCTCACTACATAAGGAAGTTCCCCTAAAAGGGCCTGGTTTTTGTTTGCTTCTCAGTCTGTTTCAGATAGCACTGTCTGTTCTAAGAAATGGGGAACAAACGGGACGGGGCAGCTTTTAAAATATAAGGTGAACAAATTCTGTGTATGTTTGTAAGCAAATATGCTGTTCCTGTCATCCTCGTGGAACTTTCTTCCTGGGGGCAAGATTGGAGAGTCAGAGGAAAAGGAAAAAAGAAGAAAATATGCAGCAGCTTGATGGCTTGAAGATCTAGCTGGCAGTTGCTTGGCATTTCATGTAATCCTGAGCTCTAGTCAGAATGGAAGTTTAGTTGTTTTTTGTTTGTTTAGTGTTCTTTTTGTTTTTTAACGTAGCAGGTAAGAGGATAGAATAGATCCTCATTGATTTCCCAGCTTCTGGTCTCATCCTTTCAACTATTGAGGCCAGAAGGATCTTTCTAGAATGCAGATCTGACCAGTTCGTTTCCCTACTTTAAACCCTTCTGTGGCTCGTCGGTGAGGGTAGTAAAATAAAGTCTAAGCTCTTTAGCTAGGCATCGAAAATCTTCCATGAGCTGGCCTCTACCTGCCTACCTCTCAAGCATCATCTGCTGTCACTCCCTATGTCATTCTGTACAGTCCAGCAACGTTCTCGTGCCTCTACTTTCACATATTACCTTTGCCTGGAAATACCTTCCACTTTGTCTAAATAAAACATATCCCTTCCTTCTTCCAGACCCTGCTTATGTGCTTCATTCTCTGAAACCTTCACTTTCTCACTTCCATCCCCGTTCCACAAGAGAGTTAATCTCTCTGCCCTCTACTACTTTACCTTGTTATAGGCCTCATCGCTTGTTTCCATGTTTGCTTTCCATACTAGACTGAAAGCTCCTTGAGAGCAGCGACTATGACTTTTCATCTCCAACAGTGCCTGCCCAAATGTTCGTTGAAGAGCTCCTTAGGACATGTGCAAAATCTTTTACCACAATAGGTGCCATACTCACTCTTTTTGTGGCCAATCCCAGATATGTTCTGGCCCTGCACAAACAAAGGGTACAGGCCTTAAGGAAGAAAGTCTGGAAATAGCACACAAGTGCTGTGGGAGGTGGCAGATTGCATTCATTCATAGTTGTTGCAAAGCTGAAGATTTCAACAATGCCTCCTCTGAAGAGGAAGAACAACAGCTTGAGCAAAATGTCAGCCATTTCAAGCTTTTCCTGATTACTGAGGCAGCAAACATCGTGACACAAAAATGATTGTGTATAAAGTGTGTTGGGCTCCACACATGAATGACTTATTGATGGGGAAAGTGGAGTTGTCTGCCTTATGTATTGCTTTGACATACAACACCTAATTCCTCTCTGGATGAGGGAAAGTGCTTTGCTTAAAGGAACGGCAAAAAAATTTTTTTCACTTAGAAAAACTACATGGCAATATTAAATTTTTTGGATAGTTTTGTATAATAGCAACAAAGTTAACAAAATTGCTGTTCTATTTTCTTATGACATTCTAGACCATTTCTCTCTGTTTTACATAGTTGTATTCTATATGAATATGAATACTGTTTCATATTTTCCTTTTTTGCTTAATAGCTTATTATATAAACATTTTTATATTTGGTCTTCAGAGTTATTTTTAGGAGCTGCATAATAATAGCTACCAATTATTGAGGGCCTGCTATGTGCCAGGCATATGCTAAGCATTCTATTTGTAGTCTTCACAACAGCCATAACAAGTAGGTATTGTTAGCTGCATCTTCCAGACCAGGAAATAGGCACAGAAAGGTTTAGTGGCCTGGTGACACCACAGCTCTAAGTAGCAGAAACCGGTTCAGTCTGGCCCTAAGGCCCTACTCTTTCCACTCTGCTGTACCGTCTCCTACATGGGAATTCACAGTATTGCAATGTGGTTATGAGCCATAACCTACTAAGCCATTTATTTTCCCTGTTTGACATTTAGGAAATTTCCAGCTGAACTGTTCGTCTTGCCTTTCCTACCCAGGCAACAGTGAATCTGTAATTTAGTTTTCTTTTAATGGATGTGCTTTTCCATACACACGCGTGCACATACACATACATACATTAAAAGAAAAGTTGTAAGCATCTATGTTTTTGCACATTGCCTTAAAATTGTAGTCTTTGTATACACCTTTTACATGTAATCTTAATGCCTTTTTCAAATGACATGTTTACTTACTTTTAGATAATTCTAGTAATTTATTTTTAGTGGCTAACAGTCATAGCCTAAGTGTTTTAAATGCTACTTAGTTTTCTCTTTTCTTTAATGCCTAATATATTTTTTTATGATTTGAAAGTAACCTCTTAATTCTGTCATTCTTTTTTGTTAAGCTTCATCTTAATATTTAACATTCATTAGTTTTATATCTAGTCAAATATAGTAACTTCTGGCCTCCTATTTAGAAAGGCAAGGTTTTTCCTCTTTGACAGACATACTATATTTTGTAATAAAGTAATAATTGGCCCAGAGCCAGATTAAGAGATGTCAGTTTCTCCATGCAATTGACTGTTGAGTAACTCTTTTTCTCTGCTGTTCTCACTTTGATTTCTGGGAGCATATTTTTGTCTTTGCAGGTCTGGGACCTGCGCCAAAACAAGTTAACCTACACCATGAGAGGCCATGCAGATTCAGTGACTGGCCTGAGTTTAAGTTCTGAAGGCTCTTATCTCTTGTCCAATGCAATGGACAATACAGGTAACTTTGAAGAGGAATGCTCTCCTAGTGCCCAGTCAATGTCCACCCTAAAGAAAGTGGGCATTGGGTGGTAGAAATGTGTATCAGGATAAATGAGAGTCTGAGGAAGGAGTCAAGGACAGCTTACAGGTTTCTACCTGGGCAATTAGAAGAACACTTTGTTAAAAAAAAAGAAAAAGAACTTTATACAAGGTAGTCAAGAAGTCAGGATTCTAGACCCAGATCTGCCAGCTACTCCTTGAGCAACTTTGCATATAACATTGATTTTCCTCAGGGCATCAGTTTTTACACTGTTAAAATAAGACAACTGGACTTTACCTTTCAGGCCCATTTCAGCTCTGGTGTGCTGTGAGTCCAAGGCAATAGATCCACACAGAGTACAAGAAACTCTTAGTGATTCGTTTATCGAGAAAGATGAATCTGGAGATGCCAGACAATGCAGTTCTATGGCATTTTCAGAGAGCACCAAGCTTGGGTAATCAGTAGACCTATTGATATCTCAGCTGTGCCTATTCTGCAATGATGTCTTCCTTCCCCACTCCAAAACATTGGTGTGACAAGAGGTCCTTATTAAAACATCTCAACATTCAGGGTTTATACACATACACACTTTGGGCCTTTGTTGGTTTTGAGTTGTAGAATGGGAGGAGGGGTTTACTATAGCAAAAAAAGGAAGCTGACTTGTTGAAATATATTCTTAATATTGGGAAGTTTGGAAATGCCCCCTGGTAATACAATCTCACAGTATTGTCAGGAACTAAAATGCATTTTACTGACATTTTGTAACATAAAAACTGTCTAGCACTCAGTGGGTGCTCAATAAATATTTGTTGAATGAATGAACATCCTTACCTTCTTACTGTACTCTCAGCTGAATAGCAGACTTTCATGCACAGCTTTGCCTTTTTATGCCTGTCTGACCCTAAGGGTTGGTATTATTTTTTTCACCCTCAAATAAAATATTACTCAAATTCCACGATAGATATAACTTCAGTTCAACAGCTATACTGCTTATAGTGGGTGTTTATATATATATATATATCCTGATTTCAATGGATTTACCATTGACCAATTCTAGCATTGTCCACAGTGAGGAAAAATAAGATTCCATAAATGGTTATTAAAATAATTAGAAAAAGAATTTCTTGTTACAGTTACATAATAAAATGATACATTCTTTATTTTTGTTAAATATTGCTTCCAACCTTTTGGAGCCTTTTCACATACATCTCATTTAATACTTAAAATACCCATATTTTAAAAAAAAAAGAAGAGCAGGTGGTATTCTCCCCATTTTAGAAAGGAGGAAACCAAGACACAAAGAACCTCACTATTTACCTGAGGTCACCCATATACACAACAGAACTAGAACTAGTGCTCTTTTGATATATTTCACTTTGTTCAAGTTTAGATTGTCAAGTGCAACATTAGGAAAGGTCACTGCTAAGTTTGGTTTTTATGGATTCATTGTCACAGTAGTCAGTGGTATTTAGATTGTCATATTGAAGCTTTGCTGGATGCAACTTTTTGAGTTGGCAGAGGAATCATGGCAAAATGTTTTGCTGAAGTCAGTGTCACGCTCAACTTTTTCCCACTGCAAGTCCTCAGCAATATGTTTTACTTTTCCCCTCCTGCTTCCTCAGCTTCCCTCTGTGCCTTAGCCCCTATTGATGGGACTTGGATGCATTTCCTTACCACTAGAAAAAGAAAAGAACCTTACCTGGTAGCAAGTGCCTCATGTGTCATGTTGGACCTCCTCCAACCAGGAGACAGTGTCTGTCATTGACATGATACTAGTTTCAGGTGGGTTCTCAGGGGGCCTCTGGCTGATAACTATTTTGCTGGTTTGTTTGTTTGGATTTCTTTCACAGTGCGAGTCTGGGATGTCCGGCCATTTGCCCCCAAAGAGAGATGTGTGAAGATATTTCAGGGAAATGTGCACAATTTTGAAAAGGTGAGTTCTGCATGGCAAACAAGGTAGTGCTAAGAATAGAGAGCAGTAGCTCTGCTGAAAAGAGGCTGTACTCCAGTAACACTGTTCTTCATCAAAACTGTTCTTGCCAGAAGTAAAACTAACAGAAGCCTAGGGAGGAAGGCAATTATATAGGTAGTGGTAGGACCAGTCCTCAAGCTAAAGACTCTGAGTTTAGACCACCCTTAACAAGACACTCCTATCCTTTTAATTCCTTGGAAACTTTGACCCTCTTAGATCAGTGTTCCATGTGAGATCCAGGCTCCCATGGCTTTTACCCAGATGGTCTCCCTTAATCTCCCAGTGACTAGCTGTTAGAGCCCTGAGACTACATCCTCCCTTCAGTAAGCACCACGGCCTAGTTCTGAGAGACAAACATTTTTTCAAACCTTCAAATTCCCAAGGCAACTCTGTTGAAAGCAGCTTTCCCCCAGTGTAAATCTCTGCTGTTAGTAGAGATATTTTTTCATTTGAGAGCTCCTTGAAATTCAGTATCACTTTATAAATCAAGTCTTATTTTTTGTAGGATTTGGTTTTATTTTTATTTTCCTTTAAGATAAACAGAAAAAAAAATTAATGAGGATCAAGATAAGTGCAGCAAAAGGAATCTCCATTTGTAAACAGAACAAAATTTTGTTGCCAGGTCCACTCCAATTAACTGTATATTAAGCATTTTCTACAGATAGTTTTTATATGGTGCGAAATAACTAAGTTTGCTGTTCTGGGCTACAGAATGTGCGATAATTGCTGATCGTCTTTCTAGGGAGAGTAATTAAAACTCTACTTAAGAAATTTAAAGTCTCTCAGTGATTCTGTAGTCTAGTAAAGAAGAGTTTGGGTATATTGCTATATTCAGTGGATTCCTGCTTATTCATCATTGCAGAATCTTCTGAGATGTTCTTGGTCACCTGATGGAAGCAAAATAGCTGCTGGCTCAGCTGACAGGTAAGGATTACTGGGTGTGGGGTAAAGAATGATGTAGCTATGCAGGTATCTTATGTTTAATACATGAAGTGCGGATACTGAGCTAGAGCAGACGGAGTTATAGCTGTACTCAGAGATGCGGTATAAAGATGCAGAATGAAGGGTTTAAAGATCATGTTGGACAAACACGTCATTTCTGTCCTCTTTTGATGTGTTTTAGACCTGAAGGGTAAAAATTTTCTTTGTTTCGTTGAATTCCCTTTGCTACCAAAATAAAATTCAGACTCATAATCTGGCACTAGTTTCCCTTATCAGATCCATCTCCTGTCACACTTCAGCCCATTCAAATACATATTGAGCACTCACCTCCCGACCATAATCACGGTGCTTCATTTACATGGAACTTTTCCTATTCCAACCTACTTGTGTGTTCTCACTTCTAGGCCTGCTCTCATATCCCCTTTTCTCCATTATCCAAACTCCTATATGTCTCTAATAACCACCTCAATGTTATGTCCCTGATCCTCTCTCCCTGCTGCCTCTCAGGCATAACCAATTGCTCTTTTTTCTGTGCTGTTTTCACACTTCATACATCTAACCTTAATTAATGTTTATTACATCTTACAGTCAGACAAACATAGTGGGGAACCTCGACTGAATTATTTGCTCCTACTGGTCAGGGACTGGGTCTTAGTCGTCTTTGAACCCAGGGGAGTGCTTGACAGTGTTTGACATATTCTTGGCACTTATTGAGTATTGCATGAATGAATTCCTGGCTCCAGGATAGCAGTCAAATTTAACTTACCCATCAGCTCAACTATTGGTGATGACTGCCCGTGTTGAGGATGAGTCAGAGGTGGATCAGGGTCAGTGGGAAAAGTGCTGTGATTGCTGAGTGAGGGCATGGCAACTTGTGGATTAGGTGTTTTCCAACCCTGAGCTGAGTTAAGAGACTGCGAGGCTTTCTTAAATGCAAATTTAAACTGACTCAGTCATTGTATGATGAACTACAAACATAGGGAGAGAATTCTTCTGTCAGGATGCTGTTGTATGTGGTATGTCTATGGTGACCTGTACTTGGGAGCGATTCAGAGGTTGAATGGGATATCCAGGTGCCAGGATTGATAGACTACAAATATGAGATGGTAAAGAATGATGAATCTCACTGATGGCAAATCCTGGGTTTAGCTACTGCTATGAAATGTCTCGATCCTTTTTACCTTAACCCTGTTTTTCTTCCCTTTAGTGATTCTCTTGCTGTCTACCAAAACAAGCACCGTTCTATCAACAGGAACCCTTTCCTGGGCTAGCTAGGGTTTTCAGCATGTTCCAGGGTTTTCCCATATTTGGGACCCTAATACAGTAAGTCCCCAGGTTACAAACGTCCAACTTATGGACAACTTGTACTTGCCCTTTAATGTTATGTACATTTGCCCTCACTTTGAAATGATTGAACCAACCCCTACTCTCAACAGATTCTTCATCACAATCACCTTCACTTGCTGCACATGCAGCTTTTAAATCATTGAAAAGGCTTCAGGCCTTTTCTTGCAGTTAAGTAAGGCGAAAAAAGAACCATGTGCACCTGTTCCAACTTACTTACAGACTCAGTTTAAAGACAGACAGGAATGGATCTCACTCGTAAACCAGGGACTGCCTGTTCTGCCATGGAGAGGACTGACTTTCGTTCTGTCCCACATCTTTCTATTTGTGAACAATGCTGACATACCTGAAGATTCCAGGGTCCTCCCGCCACCCCATCCCCGACATGTTTAATGCCAGGAAAAAAGAACAAGTACTCAAGTATTTTCTGGAAAAGAGTGTCCAGGTGGAACAGTGCCACATTAATGTTTTAAGTCCTGGTAGCTTAGAGAGCTGCCCTGAAGAAGAAATCAAAGGGATTTTCAGTTATCAGGTTACTAAAGAAGACCTTAAAAAACAGGTCCTCAGGCTAAGATGTCTTGAACTCTGACAGAGTAAGAACCATTCTAAGTATTTTTATATAATTTTCAACAAAGATTAAGCTTTTAAATTATGTTTGCATAATAAGTTTTTTTTTCTGACAAGAGCAGTTTGTTTCTAACATTGGCCCTTTCTGATTTGCAGTGTCCTCTGTCCCCTCTTACCCTTCTCACTGTTCCTTTAAACTTTACGTGTAGAAGTATGGCTCTGGTCTGGCGAAAGCCTCCCTCTACCTACTGGGGGTTGACCAGATTTCACAGGCTACCTCGCCAATTAGCCCCAGGTCAGCAGCAGCTCTGTTACATAAGGAGCCTGGTTCCTGCTGAAGGTTGCCATGCCAAAGTAAGAAGAGGACTAGGAACCCCTCTAAATTTAGCATCTAATTGGCAACCATTGAGAATGAGGCCTTGAAGTAAGCCATTGGAGATCTGGGGTTCTGCTGACTTTTATATGCATGAGAAATGTACCCTTCCTTCTCAGCAAACTGCTTTTCAGCGTGGCCTGGATTTGGCAAATTTCCCCTCACTACTTGCAAATCCCTCCTCATATTCAGACTTGAAAACCTTCAACAATTCTATCGAAGAGTATAGGAAGACTGGCCAGTCTTTGCCATGAGTGATTTGTTCATCTTTCAACTTCATGGGATTCTGTTTTGATAATCTGTTCATCTTTACAATAGCTGCCATTAATTCTGTGTGCCAGGCACTTTGTATACATTATTCTCATTTATTTCTCTCAGTAAAACTGAGATCAGTATTGTCTCCATTATTATAACAAAGGAAAGAGAAGCTCAGAGAAGTTGAATGTCTTAAGTTTACTCAGCTAGTGAATGGCTGCACTGAGATTTGAACCTAGGTCTTTCTGACTCCGGAGCCTATACTCTTTCGCCATGCCATACTTCCCTTAGCTGGATTAATGAGGACCAGTTGTTTGTGCATGGCAGGAAAGGAGACAGTAGGAAGATACGCATGTCAGAGCCAAGGAGCCTGTGGACAGATGGGGCCCCTGTTTCTCTTCCATCTTGCTTGCAACCTTTATGTAGTTCCTATGGAGCCTAGCCCTTGAGAGTTAAACAGTATACTTAAGAAGCTCTTGCTTACTTGCATTTTAGACCAAAAGTATAATGTTGGATCAGAGCTAGGTGTTTTATAATCAAGTTCTGGTAAGTGTACTCTCTCAGGTATTGATTGAACAAAACAAATATGTAAATAATTTTTATAACCTGCTTGAAAACTGCCAGCTCTTTAAAGTTACCAACAGATTTTTTTTGCGTGGTCATATGAAGATAATGTCTCTTTATTTCAACCTTCAGCTAAAATGACTCAAGCAAGATTGAGCAGCATCAAAGGAAATTTTTTTTTTTTTTTGGCCGAGATGTTTGAGGGTGGTAAGAGAAAGGACGATGCTGGAACATACTAAGAGTTCTAGTCTGATCTTAATTCTGCCCCTGAGCCACTGATGAACTTTGTCACCTTGGAAGAGTCACTATACTTTAGTTTTCTTGTCTGTAAAATGAGGGGTTTGGCTAGCTAATTTCTGTTGGCACCTTCTCATTCTAGAATTCTGTGTTCTTTCTGCCCATGAATTCAGTGCAAGATTTGGGTTATGTTTAAGTTGCAGAAATGCCCTGTTTCTCTCTGAACTCTGTGGTCTCAGTACAATACTGAGCAAGTTTAGATGAATCTACAACCTGCCATGAGTTAGGTGCCTTTAAGACATTGAATATAAGGCTAACTACAGCCTAATTATACTAAATGCTCTTTGAAGAAGATCTGTGTGGGGTCCGTAGGACAAACTATTTGTCTGTCTTCTCACCATATTCTTTCTTATTTCAGAAGCTTTTACTTGAAAATACCGGTAAAGCTTATATTTTTAGCTATTCCTACTTCCTCATTCAGTTGCATAAGGGCAGAGTCCATGTCTTATTCGAACCCTATTCCCAGTTTCAAAAAGCAAGGCAAAGTACAGTAAATGTGGGGTGAATTAAGTAAATTGTTGCTTCCATTTACCTTAAAAAGCCATGCCTCGATATTATTCAGCCATAAAGAGAAATGAAGTTCTGGTACATACTACAACATGAGTAAACTTTGAAAACATTATGCTAAATAAGTCAGACACAAAAGGACAAATACTGTATGATCCCACTTATATGAAACATCTAGAATAGGCAAATGCATAGAGACCAAAGTTCGTTAGTGATTACAAATTGCTGTTGGGAGAGTGGAAAAGGGAGTGGGGAGTTATTACTTAAGGGATACTCAGTTCCTATTTGAGGTGATAAAAAAGGTTTGAAAATAAATACCAAAACCAAACCCATTGCCGTCGAGTCAATTCCAACTCATAGCAACCCTATAGGACAGAGCAGAACTGCCCAATAGGGTTTCCAAGGAGTGACTGGTGGATTCAAACTGCCAACCTTTTGTTAGCAGCCCCAGCTTCTAACCAATGTACCAGTAGGTCTCCTTGAAAATAAACAGTGATAATAATTGTACAACATGTTGAATGTAATTAGTGTCACTGAGTTGTATACTTACAAATTGTTAAAGTGACAGTTTTTTTGTTATATATGTTTTACCACAGCAAAATCTTTTTAAAAATCCATGCCTCTGCCCTACTGCCAGCTTTTGGAGGCTTTACCTTTGTCTTGATATTTTGCAGGTTTGTGTATGTGTGGGATACCACAAGTAGAAGAATACTATATAAGCTGCCTGGCCATGCTGGCTCCATCAATGAAGTGGCTTTCCACCCTGACGAGCCCATCAGTAAGTCTGTCCTGACTGTGGGGAAAGGGAAGCTGTGGGAATCTCCCCACAGGGGTCCTGGTAACACAGAGGCAGAGGTGGACATCTGTCTTATGTAGTTCCCATGCAAACAGTCTATAGATGTCGTTGACAGTCTCACCATGTTGTCTTAAGTGGTGAGGATAAGAGCAATGTTCCATTTTTTTCTCCTTCTCAAAGGGAGGTTGTTTAGTATATTTATTTCTAGTTCTTGTGTTTACTTGCTTCTAGCTTATGTTTAATGATGTGTTTGAGTAAAAGAATGATGTTTCTTAATATTCAGATATAAATTGCAAATTTACTTAAATTTTATTGGCTAGCTAAACCAAATAATCTAGGGCCTTGAATTTAAGGAGAACGTTTAACTTTGTCCAGAACTAAGTATAACAACCAGAAACACATTTACAAAGTATCTGGCACAGACATCAATTCCTCTCTTCTACAATGACTGAGAAGGTCTTTTTCTTAGGGCTTGACTGACAAGCCGTTGTTAGTTGTTGCTGAGTCTATTCCAACTCATGGCGACCCCATGTGTGCAGAGTAGAAGTGCTGTTTGGTTTTCAAGGCTGTGACCTTTCAGAAGCAGATCACCAGGCCTGTCTTCCGAGGCACCTGTGAGTGGGCCCAAACCGCCAATCTTTCACGTAGTAGTTGAGCGTTTAACTGTTTACACCACCCAGGGACTCCTTGACTGACAAGGGACATCAGGAATTAGAGCCGGATAATGTATTTCCCAAAGCACAGTCACTCTCATGGTTTTGAGAGGGCTTGGATTGAAAAGCCAGACCGCAGTTTCCTATGAATGGTGTTTAGGAAGAGAGGGATTCAAGCTAAATCCAGTTGCTCTTCTGTACCAGAATTGGCTCTTGACACAAGAGCCCTTGAGCACCAAGTCTTCTTGAGCCTTCATTATTTTCTTATCTTCTCTGTTCTATTCACCTCAGTTCTCTCAGCATCCAGTGACAAGAGACTGTATATGGGGGAGATTCAGTGAAGGTATGAAATGGAAGACTCCAAGGCAGCTTGACCTTGAGACCTCAGACTGTATAAGTGGCGTCAAGTGGTGCCCAGGCCAGCATCCTCCCTTCAGATGAAGACCATTACTAGCAAGAAACGGAGAAGGTGGCCATATTCCAGTGACCACATGTATCCCATTTCACCAGGATGATTAAGGCAAGCTCCCAGGGGCCTCTAAAAACCACCTGCCAGATTTTAGGGACTATTTTTTGTTTTGTTTTTTTAAATAAAACTTCTTTAAAGGGGCTGACATTGGTTTTTAGTTTGTAGTTTCCTGTTTTCTAATCCAGACTGAAGACAGAGAATGTGACTGAAATTTTTAGCTTTTTGGTTGGGGATTTTTTTTTTTTTTTTTTTTTTAATCTGGTGACTGGCTTGTATGATATTTTCTTCCTGTGTTTCTCTGAGTCATTTTGTATTAAGAGCCAAATAGATCCCTTTTTACAACAGCCATGTGGATTGGATTTATTGCTGTCTTTTCTTTGAGGCTTGATCGCTATAAACCAGACCAAGGCACGATGTGGCCTCTTAAACTTCTAAGAAGCTGTTTACTTGGATTTTTTTCCATTTTCCATGTTTTTAGGTTTACTCACTCCCACGAAAATAACAGACAGAAAATAATTATTTATCAGTAACAAAGACTTTCCTCCTACTAGAAGCAGAGCAGCCATGAGGTAATAAATAAGGTCTAAAAGGACGTGGTTCTTGTGTACTTACTTGCACACCATCTTTAATGAAGAGAGCCTGTGGCTACTCTGCCTCCTGCCAGAAGCACTTTTCAGAGCAGCACTCCCTACACTCAGGGTTCCTGAAGTGGGCATAGTTAGGGCAGTCTCAACTGGTAGAAATTGCCTAAAATGTTGCATCAAACTCAACTTCAAAAGGAATATGAGAAATTTTAGGTGGAACCAGATTATGACTGTCTGAAACTTTTTTAATGATTCTGTTTTGTCTTTCCTTATACTGACAGGAACATTAAGAAATGGTATTAGTTGCCTTTTTCCCTTAGGAGAGGTTACTGTCTCCCTGGATCATGGGTGACTGTGTCCAGCCTACAGACAGGCACGAATGAATCCCATCTGGCACTGGAGGGTGGAGTGTGTCTTTTTCGAATCACTTATCTCAGAACAAAGAGCTCTTCACAGCTCCTACCTGTTCTGCGTATGTTTGATTTTATACTTTCAGCTCACAAACCTTCATCATCTATTTTTCTTGAGTTGTAAGAGAAGGAGGGCATTATCCTTGGTTTGTGGCACAACATTCAATAAACACCAACCCCTATTATGTGGCAGGCGTGATCGTTGTTGCTGGGGACAGAGATAAATAAGGGACTGTCTTTGCCATCTTAGGACATGCATAGACCAATAGAAAAGACCATCTCAAATCGATTACTTTTTTTTTCAAGTGAGCACATGTCAAAGATATACCTAATTCATTAATGAAGGAACCAGTAGGATAGTAAAGGTGTCAAACCAATTACTTTAAATACAGTTTAAATAAAGTGTACTGGAAACACAAGAGGAAGCAATTTATTGTGCCTGGGAGAGTAAAGGAAGTTTCACACATTATGTGATTATGCTTAGATTAGAACTTGGAGAATGAGTAGGACGTGGCCAGGTGGACAAAGAACATATGCATTCCAAGAAATGGCAGACACAAGCTTGAAAACATGATGCTTCATGAGCCAGAAAAACTTCAGGATGGCTAGAGGTGGGGAGCAGCAGACAGTAAAGTTGCAGAATTAAGTACGGCCAAATCGCAGAGAGCTTGTACTTTGTGTACTTCATTCTATAGGTTGAGGTTTCCTGAAGCATATTCTACAGAACGCTGTTTCCCATGTATGTTGTTAGATACTTTGGGGAATAAAGATCCCAAGCTCAAATGAGTTTGGAAAAGACTAGGTTAAAGAAAATGAAACTTGTTTCTTTACTGCAGAATAGCTCAGAGCCATTAATATACAGGGCATAGTGGGATCGCCAAAGAGGAGATGGTGACTCTCAAATTCCTGGCCTCAGCAAATATATATGGTCATGCCATTAACCAGGAGAGATTTGACCAAAGATGGCATGCAAGCTGCTCTTCACACCTTCAACACTTTAACAGGTGACTCCCTAAACCCTTTAAAACATCACATCCACACACCTCAAAATTAGCCCAGTCCCCTCCATCTCCCACCACCATCTTTCTTGGCTTAGGATAAAACAAGGTTTGAACCTTGACACTGCACTTTTAAAAGCCTGCTAGTCCCTTAAGAAGTTGGCAATGATTGGGAAGAACTGAGGCCCTGGAGACTGCAAGGGCTTTCCTTTAACCTCAGCTTCTTCAGTCCTCCCAAGTGCCTTCTTCAGAAGGCTGGGTAGAAACCATTAGCAGGAAATAACAGCACTACTTGGAATTTGAAGGGAATAGAGGCCCTGAGCCTGGGGAATAAAGATTTAAGTATAAAACATCCCCAGAGGATACAAATTGTATTCTCACTTTGGGAAAGATAGATTGCTCCCGAATGAGTAATGGCATCTCTGGTTTTCAGTTAATTTCCCTTTATGACTTCCACAGTCTCTAGCACTTAATACTGTTGGCACTTAAAGAGCCAAATTTCTTTTTCACCGGGTGGTTAAGTTTTGTAGGCTGAATTGTCAGGAAGGTGAATTTTCAGGCCATTTTTCCATGTAAGTTTTGGTCTTGATATAATTGCTCTTTCTCCTAGCCTGTAGGCCTAATCCATCTACTCCTAACCCTTTGAACAGTTTATTTACAAGCTAACCCACCAAAACACAAGTTGGTGCTATCTTCCCTGACCTACTTTCCCTAGTTGTCAGGGATGGTTTGACCCGTTCTCAGGTAGGAGAAGCAAATCCCTGGAGACCTTCATGAGCCTCTTGGAGTTGTGTAAAGATGAAACTTGTAAGGAGCCAGATCCAGGTTTCCAGATGTTGTGTACTGTTCCAAGCAAACAGATGATAGGCAGAGTGGCTTGTTTCAGAGACAAGAAAAATCTTGGCCAGGGACTGGGGTCCTAGTTAGAGCTAGAAAGGACAGGTCAGGGCTCCTGGCAGAGTTGCTTCTTAACAGCAGAATTGGCTATTTGTTAGTCTCTCAAGATGAGTGGATGGGAAACAGGTGAGAGAGAGAAATCTCTGACCAGTGTGGGGTTGCAGGCAGTTGAGCCTTAGGGAGAGGCTGTCGGGCTATTTGGGTTAGGACAGGATTGCTCCTTCAAGAGAGCTTGGTGCTTGACAACTAATGTCCCAGGGCAGAGAGAGGCCAGTCTGTAGGACTAAATGAAGCCAAGTCTGAGCGCTGAGCCTGCCCTCTGATCAGCTGCCTGTACCCAAGACCCATAATGATCCTTCTCTTAAAAAGCTCTCAGTGGGCGCCCACCCTCCCTACATCAAGCCCTGGGCTAAACTTGAACGCACCTCGTTTCTAGGCTTCCACTTCTTTCCCACAGTTGCCTCTGCAACCCACCTGGACTCTTAGATTCTTCTTTAACTTACATTCTCTGCAACAGTGGTTCCCAATTGGGTAATTCCCCCACCCCCACCCCAGGGAACATGGAGACTTTTTTTTTTATTGCACTTCAGGTGAAGGTTTACAGAACAAGTAGTTTCTCATTAAACAGTAGTACACATATTGTTTTATGACATTGGTTAACAACCCCACGACCTGTCAACCTTGTTTTTTTTTGGTGAAAATATACATAGCCAAAGAATACATCGTTTCAAAAATTTCTACATGCACAGTTCAGTGACATAGACTATGCTCTTCCAGTTGTGCTGCTATTCTCACTTTAGATGAAGGTTTACAGAACAGAACAGTTTCTCATTAAACAGTACACATGTTCCCCTATGACAATGGTTAACAACCCCACTACACGTCAACACTGTCCTTACTCAACCTTGGGTTCCCTATCACCAGCTTTCCTGTCCCCTTCTGCCTTCTAGTCCTTGTCCCTGGACTGCTGTGCCTCATTAGTTCTGTTTTGTTTTACGGGGCTGTCCAATCCCCGGCTGAACGGTGAACCTCAGAAGTGAGTTCACCACTGAGCTAAAAGGGTGTCTGGGGGCCATACTCTCAGGTTTTCTCCAGTCTCTTTTAGGCCAGTAAATCTGGTCTTTTTGTGTGTGTGTGTTAGAATTTTGTTCTATATCTTTCTCCAGCTCTGTCCAGAGCCCTCTGTTGTGATCCCAGTCACAGCAGTCGGTGGTAGCCGGGCACCATCTAGCTGTACTGGACTCAGTCTGGTGGAGGCCTTGGTGGCTGTGGTCCATTAGTCCTTTGGACTAATCTTTTCCTTGTGTCCTGTTCTCTTCATTCTCCCTTGCTCCCGAAGGGATGAGACCAGTGGAGTATCTTAGATGGCTGCTCACAGACTTTTAAGACCCCAGACGCTACTCACCAAGGTAGAATGTAGAATATTGTCTTTATAAACTGTGTTATGCCAATTGAGCTAGATGTTCCCTGAGACCATGGTCCCCACAGCCCTCATGGAGACATTTTTGATCGTCATAACTGAAGAAGTGCTACTGTCATCTAGTGAGTAGAGGCCAGAGATGCTCAAATAATTAGATGCTCCAAAATGTCATTAGTGCTCCTATTGGGAAACCCTGCTATAAAGCAGTGATTCTTAAAGTGTGGTCCCTGGACCAGCAGCATCACCTGAGAACTTTTTAGAAATGCAAATTCTGACACCCAAGACCTGAGTCAGAAACTTGGCTGTGGGGGCGCTGCAAGGGGTGGTGGTATGCAGGGATCTGTGGTTTAACAAGTCCTCTAGGTGATTGTGATGCAAGTTTGAGAACCACTGCTTTAGAGGCCCAGAAAGCTTATCTTTCACAGAGGCTTCTGCTTACTCATTAATTGTCCTTAACTAGTAGCTGTTCTTTTTGACTTAATGCTGTACATGCATTATCTCACTTAATTCTTACATATGGGGCACAG